TTCAGAATAAGAAGCAACCACTTTTTGATCTCTTTTAGGACAAAAATGGGATCCCATTCAGAGTTTGATCTAGGGTCACTGCTGACTGGGGAATTCAGGGATGGACAGTTAGGCCCCCTCACAGTGGCAACTTGTGTACCTTCAGCAAGATTGCCACTTACTCTGTGAGCATCCAGGGCATGTAGAAGGAAGCATTTGTGTAGTTGCTTTGCAAAGATGGACACGGGAGGCTGGCTTTGTCTACACCAGAGGGCACACAGAGGTTCAGAAAGGCTAAGACAGAGAGCAACGGGACAGGAAATCCAGAGTTCTATGTTCTGTGGAAAGACGGCACAAGCTGAATACTCATCATGTGAGTGGCTCTAGCTCTCTCACATCTGTTGCAAGTGGGGAAGCATAAAAACAAGCTGTTTTTATTAATTAAAAAAACTCAACAAAAAAGCAGATAACATTATCTTCAAAAGTACTGGTTGAAAACACTAGTCCAAATAGAAGAACAAGAATAGTACTTAGAGTCTCCAGAAATATTCTACCAGACAAAAGTTCTTTTCTTCATTGAAATCAGCAATAGGTAACGTTAGGTATCAGATGGCATCAGCCACAGAGTTGGTCTTTAGTTCTTCTCTTCAAGGAAACTTTCCATTCAATTGAAGGCGCCCCTATATTCAGTCACGAGCAGTGCCGCCCATCCTGGCTTGAAACTGAGCTCTGACATTTACAATGTTGTCTCAGGCAAGTTCCACACCTCGTGAGCCTCAGTTTCTTCCAGTGTAAAATGAGGTCAGCAACCTTTCTTTCTGGGACTGCTGTGAGGATTAGATGCTGTAGCTCTTTAGATCTTCAGCAAGGCCCAGCTAAGGCTGTTCCTCTCCAACCTCACTGCCCTCCTGAGAGAGCAGTCTGACCCCATGGATTCTGAGGTTCACACTGCAGAGCAAGGAGAGGCACAGCAACCCTGAGACTGGAACTAAGGGTGGGGTAAAGTTAAGGACCTGTGCTCGCTGTTCTTCTGGCCGCACTCCAAGAAATCCAGGAAGTTCCTGCCCTCTTCAGCTTCAGGTCTCTGGTAAAGGTTACATTTTCCAAGAGACCTCCCCTGAGTACCATACTAAAAATGAAATCTCAGCCTGTACCTCTGTTCCTCCGGTTCTGGGATTTCCTTTTCCTGCTTGATATTTCTCATAGCACTTATGACCATCCAGCACACCTTTTATTTTACTTTATTATTTATTGTTTGTTCCCTGCTCCTTACCACCTAAGAAGATAATTTCCACAAGGGCCAGGACACTTGTCTCTCCTGTTCTTTGATGTAACCCTGATCCTAGGGTGGCCACAGTGCATGACACACACTGGGGTCTCTCATGCTCACGGGATGCCTGTCTGCAGGAGTGTGTGCTGTGATCCCCTCCCTGGGCTGCATGTTTTCAGAGCCTTCCCAGGAACTATGTAGATGTGTCTCAGTCTGGGGCCCAGAACTAATATCCCATAAAAGTAAACACTAACTCTATAATCACTTTAAAAATTAGAAAAATTAACTCCCGTGTTCTTTATAATTGGCATTACTAACCTCTATTAGGCAAGTGTAGCCATGGTACTGTGAACACACACACTACTCAATACAGTCATTACACTCACTCATTCACAAGCTGTAACAAGCACTGATTTCTTCATTGTAAATGACAAAATTGGACCTGGAGAAAAAAGGTCATGTTCAGAGACAGACTTAGCACACAGCAGGACTGTAACTCCAGATTTCAGTCTTGTCAAAGACCCTTTGCCATGTGTCCCATGTCCTTAGTGGCCATATCAGTCACCACCCCTGTGCTAGGTTAGTCTGACAAAGTAAAGGGATGTAAGAATGATTTTTGGTTCATTGCACAAAGTAGATACAGTGGACATAAGACATGATATTTATATTCAAACAACTAAAGAATTGCTGTGGATAAAGAAGATGAAGGGGTTAGCTAAAGAACATATATGCATACCTCATGGACAGGGACAATAGTTTGGTGAAGGCCAAGGGAGGGGGAGGCAGAGGTGGGTGGAGGTGGGCAAAGTGGGGGCACGAGGGGTGCCTGCAATTATGTTAACATTAAAATTTTTTTATATAAAAAAGAATGGTTGTTGTCAAGAGGAATGAAATTACTCACAGTGCTAGAGGGCAAAGCTAGAACTAGTGTGAGTTTAAAACAAGACAGATTTCAACTCAACAGAGGGGAGTGGTTCAACAATGGAATGTGCTTCCTTGCAAAGCAGAAACCCCTGTGAGGGACAAGTATCACTGATGACCTGTAACTGTCTAGAAAGTGAACTGAGACCTGGGAATCATCAGGGACTTCCTGTAACTGGTCAAATGTTCATGAACATTATGAACTTGGTAGAGAGCAGAGAAGGAGGGCAAAGATGCTGTCATGTGCTTTTTTTCTATATATATATGTTTCTCACCCAAGATATGCTTATTGATTTTAAAAAGAGAAAGGGAGAAGGAAAGTGAGAGGGAGAGGGGAGGGAGGGAGAGAGAGAGGGAGGGAGGAAGGGAGGGCAAAGCGGTGGTTATCTTGCTCGGCCAGTGTGGCTCCATGGATTGAGCATCATCCAATGGACTGAGAGGTCCCAGTTCGATTCCTGCCTGGAGTTATAGGCTCAGTCCCTTGTGGGGGGCATGCAGGAGGCAGCTGATGCATCTCACTAATGTTTCTATCTCTCTCTCTCAAAATTCAATAGAAACATACTTTTTAAAAAAAGAGGTGGTTACCTTTTCAGTCTGTCTCCCACCAAATTCTTTAACCATCTTACACAACAAATTTATCCTCTATTGACAGTTTTACCCTTACCACGACCTTCTGAAATATTTGGCTTGCTATCTGGCCTTGACTCTGGGCCTGTACTCAAGTCAGCATACACACAATAGCTGCTCCGACAGGACAGTTCAATGACTGGCATAAGAAAAGGCATTTCTTCTAAAAAAAATTATTTCAATTTATCCAGATTATTCAGTGAATGAACCTTTAAAATATATTTTTGAATTATTTCTGTAATTTTATTTTTCAAATGATGCTTGTCTTTGAAGCATGGCTTGGGGAGCTGTAGCTAAGATAAAATGTGGTTCAAAGTTTTGTGACAATAATTCCTTGGATTTACACATGACTTAAAATACATATATATATTTGATCTCTTAAGAAATGTGACACAAAATATTGGATCATCTTCCATCCTGTCATTCATTTCCCACATTTGATGTAAGTATTAAGCGTATTAAGCACCTCTCTCCCTCTCTCTATCTCTTTTTTTTCTTTTCTTTTTTTTTTGCCAGGCCCTTTCCTGGAGCTGAAGATACACAACAGTGAGCAGAAAACAACTGGCCTCTGATCCCAAGAACTCATGGTTCAGCAGGGAGGCAGATGATAATCCAAGGATCTCACCAATAGGTGTACAGTGCAGATGTGAGATGTTCTAAGGAGGCCAGGGTCAGGTGCTATGAGAGTGTGCATTGGAAGCATTTGGGATATTCTGGGAGATCAGGGAAGGAATGCTTAAGCCAAGAGGGAGCACAGCATGTGCAAATGCCCTGGACTGTCTCCAAGAACTCTGCTAGTGAAGCTGAGCAGAGGCAGGGATAGGGAGGGTGGTGGCAGAGGAGACTGGAGAGGCCAGGGTTAGAGCACATGGCTTTTGTAAAATTATAACCAGACCTTATCCACAAAGATTCTGATTCAATTAGAGGAGGAAGGACTAGATATAGTATTTTTTAAAATCTCCCAGGTAAAGCAGCCAGGGTTGAGAATTATTAGTCTATGTTATTTGATCCTTAATCTAAGGGCTATGGGAGACTACTCAAATGTTGATAGCAGGGATAACACATTCAGATATACATCTTATATCTCTAGGACGCCTGCATACATTCACTCAGTGAAGATAAAGGAAGCCTTTAAAACGTTTTTAAATAGCTTTCAACTTTATAAAAATAACTTTTTTTCTAAAAGCTGAGAAGATAGAGGCAACAATAGATATACGTTTGTTCCCTAATGCTATTTAGGTATTCCTGAGAATCTCTGGCATTAGAAATTCGAATTCAAATAGAGTGGTGCCAGTTTGAATTCCAAGTCTTCAAAGAATTTTCTGTTTGTCCTCAGAAATCTTTCACTCTCAATCATGGAAGCTCCTTCCTTTAAAATGAAAACTTTAGCCCTGCTGGAGTGGCTCAGTGTATTGAGAGTTGTCCCATGGACTGAGAGGTCCCAGTTTAATTCCCAGTCAGGGCACATGTCCGGGTTGTGGGCTTGATCCCCAGTAGGGGGCGTGCAGGAGGCAGCCCATCCATGTTTCTCTCTCACGTCAATTTGCTATCTCTTTCTCCCTTCCTCTCTCTCTAAAAAAATCAATGAAAACATATTAAATAAAATAAAAACTTTATACCCACCTAGGCTCTTTATTTAAAAAACAAAATGCTTACATAAAAGAAGCATAGTTCACAGAAAAGTTTCTGATTTGAACACTTTTTTGCAGTAGGGAATTTGTGATGTTAGAATCATGTGATACCTTCCCAAACAAACTGCCTTCCAAATAGATCAGTTTGCTGATATTTAAAGTGTTCTCATAAGTATGTCTTATTTGATCCTTATAGTGAGATTGTGAAGAAATTGAGGAACAAAGACATAATGACTCTTTTAAGGTCAAACAGAAGTTAGTAACCAGTTAGCTTCACAGCCTTTTTTCTTTCCTCACGCACGAATACACTTCTTTTTGACAATAATGCTGGCAGGATCCAGCTCCATTTCCCAGATGCCTAGGAGGCACCGAACTATGTAAATTTGAGATCATGCCAGCAAATGGGCACAAGGAAGGACTCTATTCATTCATTTAACAGATTTTTTTTTCAAGTGACTTTTCCTGGTTGGATTTGGAGAAAGTTTTTGATTGATACTTTAGAGAAGTCATAGAAGCTGATATTGTTACCTTTTAAAAAATTCCACGAAGTATACAAATCTTGGAATATACAACTACACTTTTTCTTGCAGGATAGCATCCACTAGCTCTCTGACTGCATATTCTGGTTCCACAGTCTGTAATCGAGAACAGCTAGGAGGTGAAAAAACAACAAAACAAGAACAACGAAAATGAACAAATCAATAAAAACAATTCTTACAAATTAAGGACAAAACATTGTATGACATTATCATTTATTTGCTTCTTTCCCTTCCAGATTTGATCTACTTCTACATTTATTCCCTGATTATCAACTTGGTAATAACTAGAATTTGACATGCAAAATGATTCTAATTAATACACTGATGTACAATGTGCATACCTGTAAAACCATAATAAACAAATGGTCTCAGTAGTAATAAAGCAAGTCTTCGAACACTAATTTCCTGTCATCTCCATGAGAGGCAGAATGGGGCACTGGTGTCCCTTCAGTGATTTCCAGTCCTGTGGAATCAGAGATGGGGTAGGATTGAGCTGGGTGGCAGAAAGGGAATGTGATTGAGTGCTGGAAAGGTAGATGAGCTAATCCAGGCTACAGAGTAGGATGCCCTGGTACAGAAGGACAAGATCTCTGCTCCTCGGAGGCCACCTCCACCGAGGCTCTTTGTGTATCTCTTTGCTCCTTCTCACTGCTAATATCAAGGGAGGTGGAAATGACTACAACTTCCTACAAGTCTTCCAATCAGTGGAAAAGCAAAGAGGGGAAGTTTAAGTTTCTTGGAGTAGAGAAATTATCTCCAAACTGACAGCAGGGGGAAACTTCAGACGGCAGAGTGGTCATCCTTACCATCCTGGCGACAGTGCCAGGCAATTTTAGGAGATGGTGAGTGTGCTAATCACTTGTGTAGTAAAAATATTCATCAGTAAGGTCCCTCCCTCCCTCCCTCCCTCCCTTCCTCCCTCCCTCCCTTCCTTCCTTCCTTCCTTCCTTCCTTCCTTCCTTCCTTCCTTCCGTCCTTCCTTCCTTCCTTCCTCCCTTCCTTCCTTCCTTCCTCCCTTTCTTTTTTAAACCCAGGGGATTGCATGAGACCTAATGATTCCAAAGCACATACTTCAACTTCAGGCAAGTATATCTGATGGGCAGTTTTGATGCATAATGTAGTTCTCAACCAGTTCCCTCATTGAATATACTTCTTAAGTTATTATCTTTATTATTGGTGCATCAAATTAATGCTGATTATTCAGAGCTATTATGTGAGTTAAAGTTAGAAAAATATGCAAATGTGAAATATTACTCTTTCTTACCTGCCAGCCTATTAATTCCAATTAATCCAGCTGCACTTAAAATGCAAACCAAATGTCCATAGGCATGAACAATCATAGCAGGTAGAAAGCCTTTATAAGTCTAAGAAGAGCAAAGTAAAACTTTTAATATTTTATACCACAGTTTACACTTTTTCAGATGTTTATATGATCATTGTGATTTAAAAAAAAAAATTCTAAGCTCATAAAAATACCTAAAGGCACTGGGATATAAAAACTAACATCTGGAAAATAATCATCTTAACTTGTTTAACCTATTAAATCAATATTTTTCTCATAGCATACCAATATTATTATAAGTAATTTATTCACTGTACATTTTGCTCATATCTGACTTAAAAAATACAATATTAAGACAATAATTGAAGCAGTATAGGGAAATCTTAGTTGTGGCAGCCACAATCCAGAAAGTAAATGATATGATTATTTAGATTATAATCAAGAATTAGATTATTTAGATTTATATTGCCCTTTCCCCCTCCCGAGATCATATTTGAATTTCAGTTTTTTCTGAACAGTGTTCACAGGACATGCTACCGTTGGCTTCAGTTTAAAAATATCACTTGTTTTTAAATTTATCTCTACTTCTTTGAATAATGGCTTCTTAATTTGATTCCTTGTCATAAAGGGAGGACATACGCTGTGTCTGAGGACTACAGAACACCTGCACCTTTGATGTGGGATCTGGAGAAAGAAGATAAAGGAGAGAACAATGAGCTTTGGGAGAAGATGTATTCTGCAATAAAGAAATGAGTAACCAAATATGAATAACTGTATATGTCATAAATTTATACTTCATATTTGTTTCCTAATATGAATAAATATGAGAAAAGGGATCTCTTATAAAAGTCAACCAACCTTTGTCTGTCTGCATCACAGTGAGTTTCACAGAGAACCTAGCAGTCACAGAGCAATGGAAAATCAAACAAGCAGAGTAATAAAACACCCTGGCTGCTGCTGTGAGTCACTTCACTTCTCCCGGGGGACACACCCCTTGGGAGCTTTGTCACCAGGAGCTCTAGCAAGTAAGTGCCTACTCTATACAAATATTCAAAGAATGTACTTGGACTTGCTCAGAAAAAGTGTACAGAGTGAGAGGAATTGAGGGGATGGCAGGGGTCAGAGGAACATCAGTATTTTAGGAATATCTAGAAGAGTGAGAGAAAGAAGAGAAAGGGAAGACAATGAAAGAGACCAGGAAAACAGAGAGGTGGGAAAACAACATAAAAGCCATGGGAGTGGAGACTTTCAAGGATATTATCTTCAGCCCTGGTCTGTTTGGCTCAGTGGTTGGAGCATCAGCCTGCAGACCAGAGAGTCCTGGGTTCAGTTCCCTCTAGGGGCATGTACAAAAAAAAAGGGATATTATCTTCATTCTGACTGGATATTATAACTATATTCTAACTTCATTCTAATAAAGTAGAGGGGCATTTGGGACAAGACAACATAAATCACTTGCAGTAGCTACTGAAGAGGCATGGTGACCACTTAGTTCTGAATGTTTCCATCTTTCTCATGCAAACTAAAAAGAAGATCAAGAATACCACCAGTACCCTCATAGTTTTGGTGAAAGTAGGGGACAGAAAACCTACAGACAACAGAAAACTTTTGAAGGTTGTCAGGGGAGAGTTGGGCAGAAAGTCCATGTGGGAAGGTGTGAGGAGAATGGATGGGATCTCAAAAATCTCCAGTAAATACTCCCAGAAGCAGAGCTGGCCCAGGGAAGGACAAGCTGTGAGCTGGGCAGGAACAAAATGGGCTCCATTTCTGGGAGAGGCAGAACAAGGGCCCGTGCATGGCACAGGGAGGCCTGACATGACTGGTCTCAGCAACATCCATGAAAATGCAAAGTCCACAGCAAGTAGTGACCAGGGCTACAGGTAGAAACCCTCCTTTCCCTGGTTAGGTACTGAGTCCCTCCTTTCCCTGGTTAGGTACTGAGTCAGGTGACCAAATGCTTTGGTTTGCCCAGAACAGACCTGATTAATGTTTGCTTATTAAGAATGCCCCCGGGATTCCTAAATGGTGGTAGAGTGAATGGCAGCTACACAGATCATCTCCCAGGACCAAACTGGAATTACAACTAAAAGACAATTTGTCAGGAAAAAGTAACAGAAGAGCAGCTTGCGAGGACCATATAACCAGGGACACTGACTTGATCCTGGTAGGATTGTGGAGGCTCAAGAGGGGGGCTTGGAGCCCACAGCACAGACAGCAGTGGTCTTACCTGTGAGCAGCTCCCTCGGGGGTAAACTCCCAAGCAGCTCCACAGCGCAGAGCTGGAACAGATGTAAAATAGCCACAGCCATTCACCTTGGGCTCTGGCAGGGGGAGGGTGACTGCACTGGAACTGTGGAGGGACACCCAGAATTGGGAGTGTGCTGAGAGCTTTTGCTGAGTTGCAGCCATGCAGGACAGTGGCCATCTTACTCCTTCCCAGGTCTCTGGGGAGAGGTTGCCCCTCCCTCAGAGATTCAACCCCACCAGGCAGGCCATTGAAATGCAAATTGAGGCTCTTTAACAACCAGCATCTGCCCCACCCTTGGGAAATCCCCTTAGGCTGAGCACCTGAGGGAGTTTTTCATTCAACTGAGAACACAAGGCTCTTCAAATAACCACTATTGATAACCTACAGGACAATACTAGAGGATAACTGTACCATTTCTGGGCTAGCAACTCTAAAGTAAGACTTGACAGGGCTGTTTAATGTGGGTCCTCTCTCACTCATCCAAACCCAGGAGAGGGAACCAAAAACAGCAGAAAACCAACACCCACAGGGAAAATTTGGCAGGCTCCCAACACACTGAGATAGCTAAAATGGTGAAACAAAAAACAAATGCCAAATGAAAGAACAAGAGACCTCTACTGAAGATGAGATAAATGAGGAGCAGTTAAGCAAGTTAACAGAGCTACAATTCAGAACCATGATCTTGAGGAAGCTCAACAGCATGAGTAAGGACATCAGCACCATGAGTAAAGATATAGAAACATTGAAAACCAACCAAGTGGGAATAAAGAATGACATAGCAGAAATAAAGAACACATTGGAGGGACTAACCAGCAGAATAGAGGAAGCTGAGAACCGGATCAGTGAATTAGAAGACAGGGTAGAAAAAAATCCACCAATGAGAAACCCAAAAGGAAAAAACAATTAAAAAACAGGAAGACAGCTTAAGAGAATTGTGAGACAATGGGAAATGTAATAACATTCACATCATAGGAGTCCCTGAAGAGAAAGAAAATGGGCAAGGGTTAGAAAATATATTTGAAGAAATAGTGACAGAAAACTTTTCTAACTTGGTGAAGGAAGACGGCATTCAAGTTCAAGAAGCACAGAGAGCCCCAAGTAAGAAGAACCCAAACAGGCCCAAACCAAGACACATAGTAATTAAAATGCCAAAAAATAAAAACAAATAGAGAATCCTAAAGGCAGCAAGAGATAAGCAACAGGATACCTACAAAGGAAACCCCAGAAAGGTCTCAGCTGACTTCTCAAAAGAAACACTACAGGCCAGAAGGGAGTGGCATGAGTAACAAGGATCTGAATCCAAGACTACTCTATCCTGCAAGGCTATCACTCAAACTGGAAGGTCAAATAAAGAGCTTTCCGGACAAAAAAGGCTAAGGGACTATATTAACACCAAACAAGCACTGCAAGATATGCTAAAAGGACTGCTGTAATTAGTAGAAAAAATAGGAAGAAAAATAGAACCACACTAAACAAAAATGGCCATAAATAAGTACATATCAATTATCACCTTAAATGTAAATGGATTGAATGCTTCCATAAAAGAACATGGAGTAGCTGATTGGATAAGAAAGCAGGACTCATTGATATGTTGTTTACAAGAGACCCACCCCAACTAAAGACACACATAGGTTGAAATGAAGGGATGGAAAAAAATCTTACAAGCAAACGGAAAGGAAAAAAAAGCTGGGGTAGCAATACTCATATCTGATAAAATAGATTTCAAAATGAAAGCCATAACTAGAGACAAAGAAGGCCATTATATATTATTGAAATGATCTATCCAACAGGAAGATATAACCTTGATAAACATATATGCACCCAATATAGGAGCACCAAAATATATTAAAAACCTTCTGGAGAACTACAAAGGAGAAATCGAGAGCAATACAATCATAGCAGGGGACTTCAACACCGCGCTGACATCACTGGATATATCCTCTAGATGAAAAATTAGCAAGGAAATAGAGACTCTAAATGAAGCACTAGACTAAATGGATTTAATAGATATATACAGAGAATTAGACCCCAAAAACGACAGAATTCACATTCTTCTCAATTGCACATGGGACGTCCTCAAAGATAGACCACATGTTAGGACACAAACTAAATCTCTACAAGTTCAAGAATACTGAAATTATATCAATAATCTTCTCAGATGACAATGGCATGAAACTAGAAATCAATTTCAAGAAGAACATGCAAAGACATTTGAACACATGGAGGCTAAATAGTATTTTATTAAACAGTGAATGGCTTACCAAGGAGATCTAGGAAGAAATTAAAAACTTCCTGGAAACCAATGAAAATGAACACACAACAACACAAAATCTATGGGATGCAGCGAAAGCAGTTCTGAGAGAGAAATTCATAGCACTACAGGCCTAACTCAAGAAATAAGAAAAATTTCTAATAGACTATCTAACCTCACAACATAAAGAACTAGAAAGAAAACAAAAAGAAAGCAAACAAATGGCATTCTTATACACCAATGATCAACTCACAGAAAGAGAAACTAAGAAAACAATTCCATTTGCCATTGTGGCAAAAAAAATTAAGATACCTAGGAATAAACTTAACCAAAGAAATAAAGGACCTATTCGCAGAAAACAACAGGTCATTGAAAAAAGAAATAGAGGAAGATATAAAAAAGTGGAAGCACATACCCTGTTCATGGATTGAAAGAAGTAACATTAAAATGTCCATACTACCCAAAGCAATCTATAGATTCAATGCAATCCCCATCAAAATTCCAATGGTATACTTCACAGCATTAGAACAAGGACTTCAAAAGTTTATATGGAACCAAAAAAGACCTCGAATAGCCACAGCAATCTTGAAAAAGAAGAACAAAGTTGGAGGGATCACATTACCAGATTTCAAGTTATACTACAAAGCCACTGTAATCAAAACAGCCTGGTACTGGCACAAGAACAGGCACACAGACCAGTGGAACCGAACAGAGAACCCAGAAATGAACCCAAGGCAATATGCTCAATTAATATTTGACAAAGGTGGAAAAAGCATACAGTGGAGTAAAGACAGCCTCTTTAATAAGTGGTGTTGGGAAAATTGGACAGCTACATGCAAAAAAATGAAACTAGACCATCAACTTACACCCTACACAAGAATAAACTCAAAATGGATAAAAGACTTAAATGTGACTCATGAATCCATAAAAATCCTAGAATAAACTGTAGGCAACAAAATTTCAGACATCATACGCAGCATAATTTTCACTGATACATCACCTAAGGCGACAGAAACAAAAGAAAAAATGAACACATGAGACTACATCAAACTAAAAAGCTTCTGCACAGCAAAAGAAACAACCATCAAAATGGAAAGGCAACCCACTGTGTGGGAGAACATCATTGCCAATGATAAATCAGATTAGGGGTTAATTTCCAAAATATATAGAATACTCATACAACTCAACAAAAGGAAGACAAAGAACACAATAAAAAAATGGGCAGAGGAACTAAATAGACACCTCTCCAAACAGGACATAGAAATGGCCAAGAGACATATGAAGAAATGCTCAACATCACTAATCATAAGAGAAATGCAAATTAAAACAACAATGAGGTATTACCTCACACCTGTCAGAATGGCCACCATCAACAAATCATCAAAGAACAAATATTATCGAGGGTGTGGAGAAAAGAGGACTCTAGTACATGCTGGTGGGAATGCAGACTGGTGCAGTCACTATGGAAAACAATATGGTGTTACCTCAAAAAATCAAAAATTGAACTTCCATTTGACCCAGTGATCCCGCTTCTATGAGTATACCCTAAGAAGTCTGAAACACCAATTAGAAAGAATATATCTACCCCCATGTTCATAGCAGCACTATTTACAATAGCTAAGATCTGGAAACAGCCCAAGTGTCCATCAGTAGACGAATGGATAAAAAAGCAGTGGTACATATACACAATGGAGTACTATGCAGCTGTAGGAAAGAAAGATCTCCTATCCTTTGAGGCAACATGTAGGGACCTGGAAAGTATTATCCTAAACTAAAGAAGCCAAGCAGAAAAAGACAAATACCACATGATCTCATTTATATATGGAATATAATGAACATAATCTGAGGAATACGGTAGAACCAGAAAGATGGAAGTAGGGTACAGACTGACAACCCTCAGAAGAGGGGGTGGTGGGTGATGGGAAGAGATAAACCCAGAACTTATATGCATGTATGCATAACCAATGGACATGGACAACAAAACCAGGGATGAGGCGGGGGGTTTGGGAGGAGGGTGTCAATGGAGTAAAAAAGGAGAAACATCTGTAACCAAAATAAAATTAAAAAAAAAAATGTGAATGCAGTTTGTGCAAGGTCCCTGCACTAGGTAGTGCAGGGCAGGCTTGTTTTATGTTTATTGAGCACTGATACTGGGCACTGAAGCTGCTGGTAAGGGCAACTTCGCATATTCTCTGGCCTGGTGAACTAAGGATGTAGTTGAAGAGATAAATATTAAATGAATAAATGTATTTCCACAAGCCATAGTGTTATACAGAAAAGCTATAGAGAGTAGAAAGGAGATCAAATATAAATTGTGGTTAAGGTAGGAAGCAATGGGAGAGATTTTCCGGGAATTGACATTTGAGTGGATATCTATATGATGAATCATGAGAGGTTGACAGATCTGGTAGTAGCTTGCCTGGCAAAGGGACAGAATAGTTTAAGCCTTAAGATAGGTTTGACTTGTATGTCCAGGACTGTCCAAGAAATAAAATTGCTGATGGTAGTGGGCATGGACATTCTGGTTAAACAAAGAGTGTTTTCTGCTCTGGAGCACTGAGTTTCACCATATTTGGGATGAAATGGCCTTCAAACTCTCTGGCATCTTTGAATTTATTTTCACAGAATAGCATGGATAATTGCTTGGACATCCCAGTTCCTGCAGGACATGAAAAGAAGGTGTCAACAGTAGTATTCAGACTCCTACTTTAGTCATGGGCTGTGTACCTGACAATGTGCAAGGATGAGGGTCAGACTGCCCTCAGTAATGTGACTCCCTAGGCACCCTTCCCAGGCAGCAGCCTGAGCCCTGCCAACACTTCTTCCGTGAGAAACCCAACACCAGACCATCCATGCCCCTTTTAGGCACATCACCATATAAG